TATGGCGCGTCGCCTGTGCCTCGGGAAAATACGCGGCAAAGTTAGCGCGGCAATTTTGACAGCTATGGAAGTTTGTTTTTAGTTTTATTTTGTGAATTTGTGAAACTTCTAGAATAACAGGTATTTACGTTTATTTTGTTTGTTGCCTTTGTATTGTTTGTGTTTGTTTACGAGTAGTTAAAAGCTTTTTAAATAGGTAGGGGTTTTAATATATGAATTTATAAACAGACCTGATGAATTATTTGAAAAGTAGTTGCGTACTTACTATAAAACTATTATTATATTTTATGTCAGACATTTTTATTAAACATTATATGTCAGGTTATTTGTTCTGTTTATTCCTGACTATTCATTTATATTGAAAAATAACGATTTCAACAACAAATTCACTAAAAGTTAAATTAGATTATGTTGCGATCGCAACTTGTCTAGCTCTTATGTCTCATATGTAGGTACTTATGTTCATTCAGGAAAGGAAAATAAGTTAATATTACTTTACGTTAGAAATAAATCAATATATACGTTGTATTATGTACATACTGTTTATATAAAACTTCCTAATCCAGCTTCAATAACGAAAATAACAAAGGTATGCGCCTTTGTTATAATCGTAATTTTTAAATAAAATTTGGTAATTATACTATTTATTGTGTTTTTTACTTACTGTAATTTTGTTGCCTTATTGGTTGCACATCGTTGGTTTATATGAATAAATATAAGTAGGTACTTAATAAAGTCAGTCATTGGTTTTGGTAACGTACTGTTAATTTATCAAAGGGCTACTGCTATTTTCTAATTTACCTACGCCTATAATTCTCTATAATTTTATTCTACATAAACCTGCGCCTGATATTCACAAACATAGTATTTAAATAATGATTGGAGTCTGTTCACGTGTGATATCATGACTAGGGAGAGTTAGACGTCATTGTTATACACTGATATAAATTATTAGACTTATTTCATCAAACCCCAAACGGACGCCGGCGTTCAAACACCTATTGCCTTATTATTGTCTGTAATAACCACGACTGAAACGTTAAAGAACAGGATTTCAAATTGTGTACTTTGACTTACTGAGTCAGTTTGCCGGTTCAAGTTTATTTTACCGCACCTAGTTCTTTACGGACAAACCTAAAGCTAGAATTCCAACTAGGTTCTGTATTAAGAACTAATATTTCCTTCCAAAGGTCTATTAACATCCCATGTTGATCCCATTTCAAGATGCCATCATCACCAGTCTCATTCTTCCTAATCTCCTGGTTTATGGTTCTTATCTATGGTTCAAGGAGATTATATTGTCCGTCCGTCACTCCGGTGACTCACCATCTACCTCTACCATAGATTATGGGAATTAGGGCCGGTCTCTCAAGGTGATGTAATAGCAAATTAATTATTAATTCATAAATCAATTGGTTTCTTCGTTAATTATTCCAGTGATTGAGCATGCGACGTGACGTTTTATAGGTACTTAGATTCGTGTTTAAGATGTTTTAGATTGTATTGATGCTGTTTCTTTTTTTTCTAAATTTATAGAAATATATTATAAGGTTGAGACACCTGCGGCCCGGACTAAGCGTTTTGCCTTGTCATTTATACCGCGTACATCAAGGGATTGGAACAGTTTGCCGGCTGCAGTCTTTCCGTCCAAATATAATTTAGGTGTCTTCAAGGCTAGAGTGAATAGGCTCTTAATAAACTAGTGCGCCTTACTATCAACGATTGCATCACTGCTTACCATCAGGTGGGATCGCAATCAAGCACTAGTTTATAGCAAGTAAAAAAAAGGTCTTATTCTGGCAAGGAATCCAGAATTTTCTACGATCGAATACAATAATACCGTTTTTTTCAAATAATTTATTCATACAACTTCAACATCGTGTGGTATCTTAGAACTAAATTCTAATTTCCACAACAAAAATAAAACCTAAGCAAGTCATCTATAATTAAAACTTAACACAGGGACAACGACGGCACAATCTCTGTACCCTTCAACACTCACCAATTACTTTTTTCAACTAATAGTTTGGTTACAATAGTTATTTATCTTTTTTTGTTTGTTACGGCCGACTGGCTTCCGTCTGTGCGACAGAATACGAATAGCTTTGTCGCACGGCCATGCGACTAATCGCACTAATTACCACGCTATGATGTATGGCGCATTTTCAAATACAAATACTTAAAATATGGAGTTTGTCGTTTATGAATACAATTGAAATTTGGTATCAGGTAACTGCGTATTGTGGTCAAAACTAGACTAAAATTGTAAGTGAACATTGTATTTGAAGAATTGTTATTATTAAAGAAACATTTTAATAATTATTATTTGAAAATTTAGCCAGCCTCGGCTTCGCTCGGGTGCAATCCTGATACTACTTCTCTATTTAATGGATGTTATTTTATACACATAAACCTTCCTCTTCAATAATTACATCTTATATATAAAATCAATTGCTTTTCGTTAATCTGGCTAAAACTCGAGAACGGCTGGTCCGTTTTGGACAAATTTGTTGTAAAACATTCGTTTGTAAGGGCAGAATATTAGCTATAATTAAGGCCGCATGGAGTGTGCGGTGTAATTTGAAAGATTTAAGCATACATAGGGATATAGGGACAGTAAAAACGACTCTATTTTATACTAGGTAGTGATCATAGTTAAACATGCTTCTAATCATAATTATGTCCTCGTCATGAAGAGAAATTGACATAAGTTTCTTATGAGTTCACACACGGTATCTTTACTGGTACCTTGAACTACTCAAGGTGCCCTCAGCCACCTTTCTACTCCATTATCAAACAAGCTCGATTGTATTATAATATTGCGTGGTACACTCATCTGCATATGCTGATTCTTAGATTTTAATAATTAGTTCGTACACGTCGAGCTAAGACGAATGTGGTAGAGAGATAAGAAATATTAGATGTATACCTAAATCACGATAAATATATATGGAAAATGTTTATTATACACCTTTCCCCTGTATTACAAAACAAGATTTATCTTTAGTCCAGGTTTAAACCATTGAGTCGGGTTTTGAATTTTGAATCTTATTGTCATCTACCTTCAATTCGAAATACAAAAACTGGCTCAATGGTTTAGTCCTAGACTAAAGTTAAACCTTGTTTTGTAATAAGGCCGATTAGGTTTCACACATATTTTAGTCAGGAGTACTCCATACTCACTCTTTTCATCCTATTTAAAAGAAAAATAAGTATTTCAAAGTATCTACTGTTGTATTATCTTTTTCATTCAAGCCAAGGCTAATTGTTGTTAATAATTAATTGAGAGAATTCATCGTAAGCATTGAAGACTGACTCATTCTATTGTACAGAAGTAAAGGATTCTCTGGATCCATTCTCTTTGAAATTTTAAATAGATTTAGATTACTAGAGTACTCGGATACTTTGCTACGAGGTACTTTTTTTTTTCTGTATAAAAATTATCTCCGTTGTGTGCATTAACAAACATATTACACAAATTCACATTCACATCACACCCAGATCCGGAACAAAAATCAGTGAAAAAATATGAAACTGGATTTTATATTGGAAAATAAGTATATTACGTATTTTCTCATATAACTGTTTCCGTTTGGACGTTACTTAAGGCTAAGGATACTTTTATTATTTTAATTATATACATACAAGGAAATCTGAATTAAAAACAAGCATATGAAATTGAAGTCAAAATATTCGTTCATAAATCGTGTAAACAAGTCCGCATAGATAACAGACCACGGTCACCTGTTCGCATCACCGGCACCACATAATGCGCTTCCGGCGGAAGTGCGACAATCGACGCCATTTTGATTTCTGCCCACATTGTGCGCCCGCGCACACCGTGGCATCAATGTTACACAATAATCGATTGTGATTGTATTGATCGTCGTGTTTAGGGTGAATTGGTGGGAAGGTAGATTGTATGGGATAAACATTATGACTCATCATAATGTGTGACATCAACATCCATACATGTATTTCCTACTAGATGCTAGGATATCACATTATACCTATCACTTATAAAAATTATACTTTTGGAAAAAAGGACGCATTAATTCAATAAACTTCAAGCGATCTTTGGCCTATTGTTCTTCTCGTCTCGAATTATCACGATTGAAAGGTTAACTATTGGGGCTTTTGTAGCCACTAAAAAGTATTTAAGATATAGATCTATAACGGTCCCTCAACACAGGAGAAATTCTTATGGCTTTTGTCAGTAGTTCAGTGTATATGCGCTCTTTATTTACCAAGGTGAAAAGGTCACATCTCCAGCCATCATCGCCACGGTGTCGTGTGGGCATTGTATTTATCGTTCAATGTCAACTCATCACGGAGATAACATCGAAATAATTAATACTACTGATGGAACAGCTTGCTCATAGCTCATTGCATGTTGACACGCACGCTAGTGTCACCTGTTTACACTTATCGCACCTATTTATTATACCTAGATGATTCTGGTTAATGTAGGTTGATAGCTGGTGCTGTTGCAGATTGCCTGCTTGATAAAGTGATCATAAGTTGCGTCAGTCTCGGTTACAATAGTTAAGGGAAATCAGGACTATGGAAACAGATTCAATAAGTTATCTTAGTGATCTTAAATTTTCAGCTTTATAGTTTTACCTATATTGAATGAACTTGCGTTTTATTATACTTGATGAAAGACGATCGACCTCTTTTAGAACAGAAATCAGGATTTTTTTCATTACAAAATAATATATATTGCCTATCACTGGGATTTTCTCCAGTGTCGTGTGTCACTAACAATTTCACATACATATCACAACCAGAGCCCTGATCAACAATTTGTGAATTACAAAAAGAGATGTTCCGTTTGGGAATCTGACCCACAACATGTTGCGAGGCAGCCAGTTGCTCAACCACCACATCAACCTTGCAGACAGAAGCATAAATTAACTGTACCTAGCTTTTACAGGTTGACCTAAGTACCTCTAACAAAAATAACATATTTTCGCCAGCAACGTCCTTGACGAGGAACGATGGGTTCGGGTGCATCGGGCCTGGCGAGCGAGACGCCTGGCGGTGATCTCCGTCTTCCAGCATCCGGGTTGCGGTTTTCTCTCAACCAGCTACGAACCCTTAACTCTTATGTGGATAATCTTTGGGAAGAAGATCAAGCAGGTTTGTCATCACCTTATTAATTATAGTTAATTAAATGCAGGATACACGCCTACATAGAAAAAGCATTATGTGTTTCATCATCATCATCATCATCATCATCATCAGCCTATAAGGGTCCACTGCTGAGCAAAGGCCTCTTCTCAACCGGAGAAGGCTTGAGCATTAATCACCACGCTTGCTCAATGCAGGTTGGCGATTTCAAACTTATAATTAGAATTTATAAGTCCAGGTTTCCTCACGATGTTGACTTTCACCGTATGTCAGTGGTGTCTAAATAATCATAGAAAGTACATATAACTCGGAAAAAGTCACATTGGTACTTGCCAGGTTTCGAACACACACTATCATGCATGAGAAGTGGGCTCCTTAACCTCCTGGCCACCACGACCTTGCGTTTCTTGTGTGTGAAATGTGTTTCTTGCTTTATAACAATAAAATCTGGGCAGACTTAGCACCAAGCACTGATTTTCAATTGCAGTAAAGTGCGGTTTATATTTAGAAATTGGCTGTATGTCAGTGGTGTATTATTACAATAAATTAACTTGTTTATGACGCAATTATATTTAGCCAAATTAAGATGTAATAGACGATAGATGAATTGAATTCGCGAAACGGTAGAGTTTCGTAACGTATACAAGTTTAAGACATTTTAATCATAAATTAATTAGACTTCAATGAAGGTTTATTGTCAAAAGGGCGTATTTCAACGGAGCTAGAGAGTGCAGTGGAGAGCCTGGTCCAGAGGATAGTAGATGGAGCAGGACAGAGGGACCCGAGGTTCAGATGCTGTCATCTCATAGCTTTGCATAGAGGGAAGAAGGTAAAAGACGGAAAAGTTTTATTTGGTGGAATATTACATTTAGAATTGGGTTAACTTTGGTTTCTGGTGTATTATAACGTATTAATTCGATTACCTATAACTTTGAGGTAATTACATGATCTGTAGATATGGTTTTTGGCGTTGTTTAAATAAATACCTTGGTAGTTTTAGCTATAAGAATCTGTCAGCTACTTTTCTCAAACAAAATAGTTCTACGTGGATTTTCACCTGTGATGGAATCTTCCACGTTTCCAATATCGCAAATTAATATGCTATGTACAAAAATAATCATTATATGTACTTATGGTTATTTGGCAGATGCGATCCCGCTCCCTGGAATACCTGGTGACCTTAGACTCCCTTCCTCCTCTGAACGCGGGAGAAGATTGCAGTCTACAAAACGGACCAGTGGGCTATGGACGCATTCGTCTTACGGGCAAAGAGGCGGACAAATGGGAAGAATTTTTGACGCCATCGGGATATTTGTGCAGGTATACAAATAAATATAATTATTTAATGATTATACAAAACAATTATTCTCCTGGGATGGCCCCTATGAGTCTGACACTTCCTCTCGCCTCATAGGGCAACCTAAACTTACAGTGGACGTCTAGTCTCTGATGATGATAGTAGAAACTGTTAATGTTGTAGAGACAAGGTGGTAGAGCGCTGGGTGGAGCTGATAGCGCGCTGTACGTCAGCTCGCGGCGGGGGTGGCTCGCGAGTGCTCTGCGCGCGCGCAGTGAAGCACGCCACGCCATACACACACTGCTACCTACAAAGGGGTGAGTCAATATCAACTTAATCAATAATGATCGAGTGTACTGACCAATAAACTCTTAATAATACTTTACTCAACCCAGGAGTTGAACTCGAGATCCTTTAATTATTATTATTGTAACGGCTTACTCAATTTACTGTTTGACGAGGAACTCGATTAGTTTCAAGCCACGATAGGGGCTCATATTCAATGAGATCCCTTGCTCTGCATTTGCACTTAAAACCACTTTACAAGTGAGTCAAAATCTTTTTTTGTACTTTATTTTAATCCTGATACTGATATTCAATGTACACTTATTTTGTAGTTATCATTTGAATAACGTTTTAACACAAGACTTTATATTGACTATATTGAGATTGAGCGAAGTTTCTAATAAATGTCATGTGTAATGACGACGGTAGCATGATCGGTACATATATAGAAAACTAGCTTTTGGCCGCGACTCCGTTCGCGTGGAATAGTTACTTTCTGCAGATTTTTGGTATTAAAACTATTCTATGTCTTTTCTCGAGTTTCGAACGATGTCTGTAATTACCAAATTTCACAGAAATCGGTTCAGTAGTTAAGGCGTGAAGAAAAGACAGACAGACCGACAGACAGAGTTACTTTCGCATTTATAATATTAGTTTGGATAGTGACTGACTCGAGAAAGTAACTGACACAAGCACGCTCAACATAAATAAGAGTCCTGTTATGATCTGTAACTACTAGAGTATTCATGTGAGTAAGTTGTTAATTTCAATAGATTTTTTATAACTACATATGTCACGATAGTTACTGTTCAAAAACAGTTCACTCACGTGGGTCAATCGTTATTTTCAATAAATGTATGAATAAAGTTTTGATATAAACTTGACAATCAATGCTCCTTCTACACAAGTTTAAGAATCCAACAAACCTAAAACCACGTAAAACAGTTCCGCTGACGACATATTATTGGAACATGGTCATTGCGGCCGGAATGTCGTGTTATCGTCGGCTGGAATGTCTACCGACTAAGGACTAACCACTCGGATCTATTTTGATAGATGCTATTAGCTGTGGACATGGCTGATGATTGAGCGACATGCTTGAGGATGATCTTAGAAATATTTTTTAAAAGCCGAAGCCATTACCCTTTTCTTAGGTGTCCAAGAGTAGTGTTGAGTAACTAGCGTGAGACATACTAAATTTACTGTAAAACACGACTTACTTACAAGGTGGTTTTTAGTCAGTAAGTCAGACACTCCGCTTCGCCCCACCCAATTCATTTGGTGATTCCCGCCTCCCTCAAAAAGGATCCAAATACCTCATAAATACTCATAAATCTTTTAGACACGACGAATTTTAGAACCTTCAAGAAAGGTGTGTTTCACCATGTGAGCTTACCAGAGGCCCAATCCTTCCCCTCCCCCGATCCCTAAATTCCAAATCCCTAATCCCCAAAAGGTTAGCAACGCACTCGTAATTCCTCTGTTCCATGGGCGGCGCTGATTGCTTACCATCGGATAATCCGATTGCTCGTTTGCTGACCTATTACATAAAAAAAGTCCTGTGGCTACTCTGGTGTTGCAGGTGTCCTAAGTGGCACTAATCACTTTACATCAGGTGATCCGGCTGCTCGTTTGCCTCCTATTCCATAAAAAGGACCTTATTGTGAAGGCAAAGCAAAATAAGGTTGGATAGCAAATTGAAACGTAAAGGACTTTCTTAAGCAATTCAGTAGCAGATTTATGCAGCAAGATCTTTAACACAAAATGAATTCAAAACCGCATTTCACGCTTCGAAACGAAGATTTTAATATAAAATGTAGGTCAGCGCTTTTCTTATACAATCTACTTTACACCTTACGTAAGTTCAATGAGACCGCCGGCAGATGGCGCGCCAGGAATTCCGTTATCGGCTCGTATCGACGGGGGAATGTGCAGACAAGCTCAGTTGAAGTTGTTACTACTGCGCTGTTGAGGAGATAATGTTTTGATTTGAAATAGTTTTTGAGTTTTGGATTCATATTCGTAAACTTACTCAAATGGTAAGTAGGTACGTTACTAGTTTTATTACCTGACTACGGCAAAGCCAACGGAGGGTTATGATTTTGACAGGCTATGTATGTATGTATGTATGTGCATCTGTTTCCTCGTAACTTCTTAACTACATACTTATCCGAATTCGACATATGATATATCATTAGAAACGGCTTAGTTGTCCGTTGGTTATAGGCTATATGATGTATCACAAAATCTCTCCCCTTTTTTTGTTAGTGGCATTACTCGCGCACTCCACCATTGAGCTGGATGTCACTGATTTTATCATGTCCATCCATCTGGTTGGTGAGCGACCACGCGCTGACCCTCTATTCTCCCTTGCATCACCAATCGTTCCATTGAGTCTTCGCTTCGAATGATATGGCCAAAGTTTTTAAGAGTTCTTGCTTGCACAATCGAAAAAAGTCTTGTTTGATGCGAAGCTCTTTTAATATGGAGATATTGGTGCGGTGCTCAGTCCAGCTTATCTTCAGTAGTCGTCTCCAGCACCACATTTCCACCATTCTGCCGCGATCCCTTTGACGAATCGTCCATGTTCATGCATCGTCACTCGAACCATCTACCATTCTAAATATCTATTAAAAAACCGCAGCAAAATCCATTGCGTAGTTTTAAAGATGTAAGCATACATAGAGATATAGGGACAAAGAAAGAGACTTTGTTTTATTCTATGTAGTGATGTATATAGGTACAATCCTGGTTGAATATAAACGCTCCTCAAATCTCAGCCGAAAGTGTCCAATGCTCGTAACCACACAATATACTGGAGTTACTTCCGACGCTTGTAAACTGTGAAACGCCATGACACAAAACTGTGACGTCATCTTACAGCCTTTGGGAAAATTTCGTTTAATTAAAACTTTACAAAGTTTTCTCCGCCAAGCGCTGGATATGAGTATTAGGTGTGTGTGCATGTGATACGTGTGACGTTTACTTGTTATGTATGTAGGTGTGTAGTATTATATGCTTTGTTTTTGAAATCTGAATAATTTTAATTGCTTCTTCGTAGTTCTTAATGTCTTAATCAACTATTATTAACTATGCGTGGGAGAATCAAACTTCGGCATGAATGGGTCAGCTCGACCGGAGTGATACCATGGTTTCACCGAAAACCGTTGTGTAACAACCACAGTGTTGTGTTATGCCGTGTGATCAAGGTTACCGGAGACTCTTATCCTTCTTCAAATTCCCAATCATCCCCAAAAGGCCAGCAACTTTTAACTACATATCCTATATACCTACATACCTATCTGGCGATGCAGGTGTCCATGGGCAGCGCCGATTACTTACCACCAGGTAATCCGTCTGTTCGTTTGCCGACTTATAACATAAACAATACTACTTATACCCTACTGAATTTCAGTCAGACGGTTAGGTAAAGACAAGATTTCCTTTTTTATTTAAGAAAGTAGGTTAACAATTTAGTTCAGATACCTATGTAATAAATAGTATATACATACTCGTACATATGTATTTTATACATGTTTCATACATCTGTATTGCAAAGGATCTCCATTGTAACTAGAGGTCGTTCGCTTCAAACTTCCACGTTTTGTTCTCCTTGTTATTTTCCTCTCATTCAAAACAGCACATGCACCCGGATTGCTCGGGAACTATTTATTTAGTTTGACAGTTGGCCGCAGTTCGCGTCCCGGCGGTTACAACTTTGTAATGTTGTTCTGTTGCCCAAAAAGTATATATTATATGAAAATAGTTGTAATAACATTTTTTTGTAAAGATGTTCAGTTTTGGATTTGGTGTCGGATTGCATTAATGTTTTATGGCAACTAGATAGCAGTTTTTAGTGGTTATCCCACACTAGTATTTTCTCCTGTGTCGTTGGTGCGTTTACAAACATTCAATTTCACATACACATCACACCCAGACACCAGTTGTATAAGTATACAAATCGAACGCGCGACGCGTTGTGCGGCAGCCGGTTGCCCAGACACCGCACTAACCATGTAGTCGTCATGACTTATTATTGACAAGATTTTCAACAACAAAGAACTAGATAGCAGATTTTTAGGAAATTACCTTATTTTCCTCCGTTTCCCTCATTCCAGCGATATATAAATTGTTTCCTTATTCAAGTAAAATAATATATGACAAATCACAATTAACAAAAAGTCTCACATAACAGGTTACTAAAACTATATCTATATTGATTACATGAAACATGATACAGAAATGGTAAAGCTTTACCATTTCTGTGGGTAATCAATATAATTTTGAAACGTAGATATATTTCGTCCCCAGAAATCATGTGCATAGTTCTGTAGATATAGTTTTAGTAACCTGTAATACCTTTTTAGATATTCTCGTAGAATAATAATATAATTACTCGGCACAAGAATTACCTGAAGTATAAACTACGCGTATATCGTAGTTTATACTTAACGTCGATGATTATTCTGAGAGGCCGTGGTATCACTTCTTTATGTCTTAGTTCGACCAACGAGGAGACGGATTACCTAATGATAAGGAATCTGTGCCGCTCATAGACATTCGTAATACCAAAGGAGGTTCTACAAGTAGGTATGTTGCCGGCATTCGTGCCGAAGAGTGCCACTAAAATTATTTTCTTTTATATTTTCATAATATTCGTAACATCAACTGCAGTTAAAATTATAATACATCATATAGAGGGCGCTCGGGCTGAGCATGAAATATGAAGAGATTTCTTAATAAATTAGAGCAAGCTCGCGTTGAATAAATGAAACTTGAAAAGTATAATAAGAACTGTGCTTCATCTTACTTTAACATTAGGAGATGAAAAAAAGTCTTGTAGTTACTATATGTACGTATATTTTTTGCATTTCTGCGTAATCTGTCCTTACGAATATAGTGGGAAAAAGCGTATACACACATACATATGTATAACTAGTACATGTTACTTAAATCAAATTATTATGCTACGAATTGTTCTTTCTTTCTTGAATTAAGTTTGAAACATAGATAGAATTGTACCTAGAGCAGAATAACACATAAGGTAAGCTTTTATCCTGAAAATGAGGGCATAATCGCTGGCAGAAGCTATTATAAAATACGTTGTAGTAAGTTAGTGTTCACAAATAGAATAATATATTTTCACCATGAAGCATGTATGGTTTGGTCGTGGTGGCCCAGAGGTTAAGTCGCCCACTCCTCATGTATAAGGGGGCGGATTTCATACCTGATTCATTCATTCATATCGTATCAAAATGACTTTTTCCGAATACTATGTATTTTTTGAGATTATTTAGATATGACAGACAAACGGCCAAGGAAAACAGTGCAGCGCAAGGAAATTTGAACTTATAATTTGAAAATCACTGACCCGCCTTGAACAAGCGCGGTGGTTAATGCTCAAACCTTCTCCGTGTGAGAAAAATAATAAGTTGGAAATCACTAACTTACTATTTCTTCTTTCTTTTTGTCCCTTTTTGAGCTTTTTTTAATATTTAAAACTTGTAATTTTGCAGTATGCACATATTGTTACGTTACTATCTAGATCAAAACCTTTCGTTTTTAAGCTAATAATATTTGATTGTAATGTGTTTTGTGCATGAAATAAATAAATAAATAAAAAATAAAACTAACCCGCCTTGAACAAACGTGGTGATTGATGCTCAAACTTTCTTCGTGTGAGAAAAGGCCATGCCTCAATAGTGGGCCCTTATAGTCTGATGATGCGATGTGAAATGGTTTGCTTGATAAATAGTTTAACACCATGGAGATTCGCAACTAGAAAGTATCTACCAACAAAATGTCTAACTCATCATCTCCCCTGGGTGCCTGGAGTTATAAGTCCAGGTGAATTCGTTGATATTATTAGTACATATTCTGGATTAATATACGCTATGCCGTAGCTGTGATTTCCCAGGAGATACACAACTTATTCAGTGACCAGACATAATAAGCTTGTTATAATGTATTTGCAGTTGTTTAATTTACTTTCAAATGTGGTTCGGTAACTCTTATTGAGTGGATATGGAAAGTATTATACATATACAAAGGTATATCATAAAAAATCTATGTTGTATAGTTTACTAAATCAAAAATCGGGATAACCTGATGCTAAGCAATCGACGCCGCCCATTTACATCTGCATCTTCCGAATAGTTGCAAGTGCTGCCATTTTGGGGTTTTTGGGCATTTAGGGATTGAGCCTCCGGCAACCTCACATCCGACGAAACACAACGCTAATCACTAAGGCATACTTATTATTAGCTCGAGGTCTTGATTTTGTGAGATACCACAGAGGCTGTGCCAAAGTAGTTTTATCGAAAACACAATATATGCATATGGGAAAGCCATGCTTCGGCACGAATGGTTCAGCTCGTCCGGAGTGATATCACGGCCTCACAGAAAACCGACGTAACACAACACCAACACGACTTTGTGTTTCGCCCAATCTTTCTATTTCTCCCTAATTCCAAAATTTCGAAATTCCTAATCTCCAAAACGTTTACAACACTCTCGTAAATCCTTGCGGGTATTCTTATGTGGCGCTGATTGCTCACCATCAGGTACTCTGTTTACCGACCTATCACATAAAATTGTTCTTTTCTCCCCAGGGTCATCGTTGCTATCGAACAACGACCGTCGGCTTGCCATAGTTGAGGGAGCTGCATGGGTGATGGTGCGTGTTGGGGCTGGTGAGGCAGAAGCCAAGCTGATGCTGGGAGCCAGGGTGCAGGGGTGCAACGCTGCTGCCTATACTAATAGAGTCCCACTGATACATCCCATGGCGTTGTTGCATTACACTAGTGCTCAGGGGGTGAGTTTAGAAAAGGAGCTTTCTAGTAGGCGATGTTTTGCATTGATTTAAATAAAGGATACCTAGTATACATAATACTATAATGGTGCTTCTTATTCGTTCGTGGAAAGATCTTCTTGGCAATTATTTTTACCGTATACTACAAAATTCCGGATGGCGGTAGTAATTTTGAATAGTGGTCATCAATGTTAATATATCAAAACAATATAAGAAATACGAAAAAGAAGTCCTTGAGATGATGAAAGATATACATATACATGAGATGGTAGTTAAAAATCGTCACTTGATTGAATTTGGAGATATTTTATCAGCCTAATCCTATCATAACTTTATGTCCGTCCTTCTTTTCTATTTCCGCGTCAGGGTTACTACGCAGCAGCAGTAGGTCCTCCATCGTCCTTAGTATGCGGTGACCGTTCCTCGACGTGGCAGCTCTGGCATCCCTCCCTGGAAGCAGAGCTGGACGCCCACTGCTCACAGCTGTCCACCGTCGCCAGGATCGCTGGAGCACTCAACGTGCTTATTGATAAGATGAGGGAGGGAGCGTATCAGGTGAATTTTACTTGAGAAATATAGGGATTATTATTCCTGGTATTCTTTAGAATCAAAGCTGTTTTTTTTTATTATAATTTTTGTGAGACATAATAAATTAATAATTATCTTTTTGGCTTCCTCACGTAATTGTTTTGACAGTTTACTCGACTAGTTTCAAGCCATGCTAGAGTCATGTCGGTAGTCAGTCGCCGCGACGCGGAATGCTGCTCATGAATATGGGCCTTTAGCATGGCTTGAAACTAGTCGAGTATCTCGTCAAAATAATAACATGAGTAAGCCGAAAATATAATAAACCTGTTTTTGTAACAACTCAATATCATACGTAGGGAATGAATCTATATTATTGGTTTTACTATCTCGATTTTGCTTGCCTCTTGCCCCTACTGTAGACTCTATACATCACCCAAAGGTTCTACTGGCAGAGAATGCCTATGGCATTAGGTTCACTTTGCACACGCGTTTGTTTTTGCAAAAGCATAATTAAATAAATGAAGGGCTTTCGTTTTACCTTCGAAGAATTTGGTTTTCTCATATTAGTGAAGAAGTATGAATGACGTCCATTAGCAATAGCCTCGCCTATGGCCTCTTATCTTATCATGACGGGTGAAACTTGAATTATTGACTAAAATCGAAGACTGTGATTCTAAATTATATGTATAAAAATTTCAAACAGTTAACAAATCATAATTGGTTATCAGAATATATATTTTACTTTAATTTAAAAAAAGGCTTATAGACTGATACATTTATAGTCAATAAGATACCTACAGTACTCCACTTATGTCGATTACAATAATTTTCAATACGTAGGTACTTAAAGTTGCGTGCTAAATTTTTGAAGTTTTTTTTTCGGTTTTCTAGTTATGTATTAAAGTTGTTTTTGTATTTCAGGGAACCCTTCGAGTGTTGAGTAGGTACGCAGCGAGTAGCGCAGTCCGGCGGCGCGCGGACCGCTGCGGCGCGTACCCGGGCGCCGCGCCGCGCTGTCTGCCCGCCCTACATGCCTCGCACCATCTCTTGCTACTGCTCGACGAGTGAGTGTATAGCCTAAAACTATTGTTAACCTGAAAGTTTCTAAGTGTGGATGAATGGTTCCTGATATGCTGAAAGGATTTAGTATGTAATTTATAATGGAGTCCAAGACTCCCCCCTATTCTCAGTCTCCGACAACGCATTTGTAGTTCTTTAGATTTTCGAGTTTCGTTGGGCGGTACTGATTGCTTTATATAAGGTCTGCTTGGTTGCCGACAAATATTCAGAATGTAAAGAATTTCGACCAGTTTCTATCAAAATATTAGTGGATGCTTATGGCCAACTAAAATGAATTGATTATTGTAAAAAAGTAGGTATACTCGTAGGTAAACCCTTTTTTAAGCTATACCAATTTATATTATTTTTCTATCCTTGTCTTTACAACTTTTTGTTTTATCCTTTAGATTATATGCCCTCTGTGAGCGTGGAGGTATAGCAGGGTATGTGTACCCAGTGGAGCGAGGGTCGGTCGTACGACGCGGGGCGCGGGATGCCGACTGGCAGTTCGATGCCGCCTGTGTCAAGAGCTGTCTGCAGCAACTACATCATGTTGCAGGTAAGAACCAAAAACATATCTTTTCAGAAATTCACTTCGAAACTTTTAAGGATTATTCGAGGATACTCGTCTAGTTTCGAGACACACTGGGGGTTAATAATTACGATGTGTGGGCGTAACATGCGAATCATAAAAAAAATGTTTTCGTCACAAAACTATTTACGTGAAAATAGTTTTACCATCGACAGACTGACACACATAAAGATGAACTTTATAATTATTTTTGTTCGACTTTGTGACACGTGTTCTTTCGTAAGTAAACCTTAAACAAAAATGAAGAAAAAATAGACAAAGATAAAGAAAAAAAAACTTTCTGTAAGTATACTCTGATTTGTTTCAACAGACTCAATACCTAAGTGAAAAATAACAAAGTTGTTTTAAGAGACTCATGAACTTTTCGCGGTTCTTGGAAGTGTCTAGATACACTTTCCAACAATCATAAAATGAGCGCAAGTCAGTTGATTTTTGTCTAAAAAATCTACTAAGTAGTATGATTTCACCTTTTTATTGCTATTAGATTCCAAACATTTTCTTATGAATTGGAAAAATCTTGTCCTAACACCAACTTTTTCGGATTTCCAAGAAAAACCATTACTTCTCGCGGGATAGTTTTGTAAGTCAAGTTATACATCGATTTTTTTTTGTTACGTACATATGTATTGCCTATCTTATTAATGCCTTACAAAATACTCTTACAAAAATGTGGTTGCCACCGAAGAAGAAAGAACATAAAACTGCGTGATTACCCTTCCTCAAATTGCGATAACTTTTGCAGGTGAAGACATTCCACCATCACCGTCAGACTGCTTGGAAACTGCGTTACTGAGCCGGTGGGAGAGTCTGAATAGAGAAGCCAAAGCTTCTGCAGGATCCACACCAACATACTCTAAGCGACAACTGCGATATTTGTGGAGGGTGGCTAGCGAACTGCTCAAGTGCAAGAGTATGGTGGCTTGTGTGAGTTTTTTATTGTCCATTTAAGTCCATACTGAGTTTAATATTAAAGACCATATCGCTTTATCTGTAGCAGACTTTTTATGTTCACGTTTGGACGTACGCTTCTTAGACACACATCTGATCTGACATTTCGGATGAAATCAGCATACATGCCAATCTCATCCGAAATGTCGGATGTGTGGTCTTTATTCACATCCATCAACTTTTTTTTTGTTACACAAACTTCATTAGGTTTCTTTTTTAACATTCCAGAATCTAAGGTAATTCGTAGTATTCATCTGGTAGCCCTCATTTTTTTTTACATCTTAGTGACATAATAAAAAAATATATCATCAGTGAACGTACTATTAGTGCAATGATCAAAAACTAAAATATCGAATCATGTTTTGTTATTTCATAACCCCATCAATGGTCGACATCGGTAAGGTTGCCCTTGCCGATTAATTAAAAGCCTTTATTTTCTCAGGAAAACCACAGCACCTTCAAAGCGAACCTCATCCAAGTGACGTCATTGAATCAGGAGCCAATTGAGGACCTGATCCACGTGCTGGCCATCATGCTGGACCAGGCTCGAGATTTGTACCTGAACAACTTCCACTCCAGAAATGTTGGGGAATTCGATAGGGACTTGTCTGTTTATAGGTGAGTGTTAATGTGTGAAAGTAGAAAAAGGGCAGAAAATTAGAAAGCATTATATTGACTAAAGACCTAGTTACTATATTCTGTATATATTAAAGAACTTTTGTAAGTATGGAGCGACTTATCTTAATTTTCCAAGATGGCATTGAGAGTTCTGGGTGACTGAATATATAATTACAGTAATGCTATTTTAGATTTATGTATAGTGATTCGATGTAGCAAAAAATGCAGATTGCAAACCTGCGACTAAATCACAAAATTTTATTTACTACAGGTCAAAGAAATGGAATAAACTAAAAGACTACTACGACGCTTCATCAGCCTGTCTAATAGACGCCGTGCGAAGAGACCCTGAGCTACGGCGAGAAGACCTAAAAGACCATATGGTAGTCATGAAGAACATTCTAAACTGGCTTTATAAGGGCGCCAAAGATGATAAGAAGTATTTGGGACCAGTTCTAAGACCGTATTTGGATGGTCTTTTCACCACTTCTATAGAAAATTCATGGTTTTTAGAGGACTTTGATGGGAAAAAGTGTGTGCAAGAGCTGGAAGGATTAAAAGAGTATTGCATGGGTGTCCATGATGGGTCTTTAGAGCCGTGCATGGGGCTGCTGGATGCTGCCAAGAAGTTTGCGTGGGCTAAGGCTATGGTGGATTTTGTGGACAGATTTCGGCATATTGGTAAGTTCATCTTTCATTGATTTGTGATTCAAATGACCAATTCTTTTTCCCCTCCCCATTCTTTAAATATTTTAAACCCTAATCCCGAAAATGCCGGTAACGCACTTGTAACTCGTCTGGTGTTGCGGACTTCTATTAGTTGGCGCCGATTTTTTAACATCAGGTAATAGGTCTGGTCTTTTGCCGCTCTACCATATAAAAAAAACTGTTTTTCCTCCCTTTTGATACATGAAATTAATCAAGGTTTAATTTGATAGATATTAAAAAATTGGTTCATCTTTCCTTTTAAAGTTATGACCTCGATAAATATAAGCAAGATATTCTAACAAGCGGCATCATTAGCAAAACATCAAACAAATACAAAATTCGCCCACTCAATTTAGCCACAAACTTAGTCGTTTTATGTTAAAATATAGTGACCTGTAGGCTTTAAACTGAATAATTGAGATGGTCCTAAACACTATGACCACAGCTACAGGTCATTGCCCTCATGAATACATGTATACATTACCGTCAGTTTGATTGTTAATTTACAAAGCTCTTGGGTTTAAGCCCCGCTCTAAACTGTTGCGGTGAATTTACTGCAAGCGCTCACATTTGGCTAAATTCAAGGGATAATAGTACTACCACCGCTCTGTGAATTGTATCAACCGCACATTCCATGAGTGTGTTATTGTAGATTTGCTGTTTTGGTGTTTGTTAGTGAACTGCTGTGATAAATATAGAATATAAAAAAAACAGAAGTAGATACTTTTTATACACTCGTAAGATCAAGTAAGCAAGATCTACATGGTTGTAACCTGGATCGTATTTTTAGGAATTATGATGTTAACGATTAAATATCATTATCATCATCAGGAGCCTATATATAACTGATGAGCAAAGGCCACTTCTCACATAGACAAGGCTCAAGCATTAATGTCAAGTGTGGAAAAGCCAAGCTTCGGCACGAATGGGTCGGCTCGACCGGCGTATAACAACCTACAGCGTTGTATTTCGCCGTGTGAGTGAGGTTACCGGAGGCCCAATTCCTCCCCCTCCCCTATCCCTTCAAGATCCTTATATCCCCAACCCCTATCCCCAAAAGGCCGGCAACGCACTCGTAACTCCTTTGGTGTTGCGGGTGTCCATGGGCGACGCCGATTGCTTACCATCAGGTAATCCGTCTGCTCGTTTGCTGACTAACACCATGAAAAAAAAATCACTACACTAATTTGACTCGAATCCGCGCCTATTGCGTAAGAAGCGGGTGCCCTAATCATCGGGTTAATACGACTTTAGGGCTAACAATGATTCGCCGTTTTTAGACCTGCTTTGTAGTAGTGACGGATGCGAATAAGTCTGCAAAATAATGATTGATATAAATAAGACAATCACGAAGGACTTACGAATTTTGGGGATTTTGTTACACCTACATTTCCTTATATTTTTTATAAAAAGCAAAACCCATCATCGCAAAAATGGCGGATACCTTCACTGCTTAACGTTCAGAAAACATGATCTGACGTCAAAACCGTATATTTAAACAAAACAGTGCGTTGAGAGTTGAAACTAAATTTGGAATACTAAATAATTCCATTTAAAACGTGCACAGCAATAACAGGAGCCACTATTTTATATTACAATCCACTGGATCAAAATTTCAAGATCGTTTCGCTTGCAACCGAATACGTTAGCATTTTAAATATGACCAAAGTACTCAGATATTTGTCCTTCTCACGGTAATGGGGCATGGGAGTTCAAGATTTACTGGGCAGGAGTTAATGCTGGTTGTGGGCGGATTTGAATAGACTTAGACGAACTAGATGTGGCTGGAACGCAATTGGATTTTTGTGAGAAAAGCTGTGTTTGTAATGGCAATTTTGTTACTTCGTTTTACGATGTTTTAATTTGAGCTTTCAATATCGATATAGCATAGAAAATATTACATGCTTTTTTATTTATTAGTGTAGCGTATTTAACTAAATTTGTTGGTAATTTAGGTAATATTAGGACCTTAAAGAAAACAATAATTACAATTTGCGATGAGTAAAATCGGTGCACATCTTTGTTTTTTTATCTTATAAGTACTTTTTGAATCGATCTGTATCTATTATTTAATATCTTTACTCGCTAACTATTAAGAATATTTTCCTTAATAAGGTTATTTTCGTCCATGCCTTAATGTTGTTTAGTACAACCACTTTCAGCAACATACATCTGCGTAAAGTTTGAAACTGTGGCGAGTTGCAAATCCCGCCTAAGTTGTGGAAACGGCGTGGAATCTGTTCCCGCGAGTTGTTCCCAATCTCTGTTATCGCTAATACCTTTGTCGGAGGCAGTTCTCTGTCATAATTATAACCAAAACATTTCCAAAACTTGAATGTTCCACAAGTGATGATATATCACTTTACTCCCAACGTTATCATCATTATCACCATCAGCCCGTTTTCATCCATAGTTATATAAAAGCTTCTCCAATAGTACACGACTGAGCCCATTCTTCAGGTCTTCGCATTCAGCCACAACTAGCCATTTCCACTTCAGCACATAATGGTTTTAAACATCCTTTTAAAACTAATCCTTATTGCACGTCGAGAATGGCCATAATTCACACCAGCATGCTAGGAGCCCGCTATAAATCAAGTGCATAGCATCACGATCAATACAGGCTCGTTGTTTCTCGTTAACTTTCCATTGCAATAGTGGAAAAGAATATTCTAGATAAAATACAAACTACAATGAAAGCTATAGTGGTTTTTGTTTGTTGTAGATTGTTTTTTTCTAATACAAAAAGAACTAGGGTTTTATGACTTGTATATTTTTCCAGAGCAAAAATGTAAATCGAAGAATAACGAATGCATGTGTGTAGTACAAAATAAATGCATATAAATGGTGACTCTAATTGTTTGACCATTGACTGTGTTTTCTATTGTGCATCGTATATATTTATGCAATAAGTTCGTATGCAGCTATTAAAATGAGTGTTCTGTATCCAGCTCTATTTAATATATACATATTTAAACCTTATACATTTGCAATAAGGTAGAAAATCGCTTAAAGAAATTTTCTATGTGGTATGAGGTGGTTTATGTGCTTTTCATTCATATATAATTATTTCTGGTATTTACCTACGATGGAGCATGCCTACCAATAAGCAGCCTATTCACTCGGGGCTTGAAGACACCGAAGTTATACTTTTCGGAGAACACAGACTCCAGCAAAGAATTCCACTCCTCGTTTTTAATGTGATAGGGCGGCAAACGAGCATATGGATTACCCGAGTAAGCAACCAGCGACACCCATTGACACCTGCAACAACGGAATAGTTACGAGTGCGTTGCCGACCTTTTGGAGATTTGGGGTTTTTTTAAAGAAACGTTGCCCTACACTATAATTTTCTCCTGTGTCGTGGGTGCAGTTACATACATACAGTTTCCCGTACACATGACACCAGACCCGGAACAACAATTTGTAAATCACACAAACAGTTGTTCCGTGCGGCGACGTCGAACCCGCGACACTTTGCACGGCAGCCAGTTGCCCAGCCACCGCACCAACCGTGCAGTCGATTAAGGAGTGATTGGCGGAGGGCAAGGATTGGGCCTCCAGTAACCTAACTTACACGGCGAAACACAAAGCTGTGGTTGTTTCACGTGGGTTTTCACATTCGTGCCAAAACATGGCATTCCTTAGCGGGATTTCTCATTCCATATTAATTACCAACAATCCAGTTTCTCTATCCATTCACACAGCGAGTAATTACACGCCAGCATAACTTGACAAGTCGTTAAGACTTCCCATATAGCAGTTAAACAAAGATCCACAACGAGCGAGTACAGTGACTGTAACAGCTACACTAGTTTCATCGTATTCACAAAGGTAGCGTTATGTAATTTGTCTGCAAAGCGTCGGATTTTAGTACTTTGGTACGTACTGAAATAATTTGTCATTTGTGTTAGTTTAGAACTGGGGTTGTATATTCTGTTGTACTGTGTGAAGCAGCTATATGTTACACTACATTTATATGTTACTAGCTCTTACCCGCGGCATCGCTCCCGTCAATTGACTACCTACCTTACTCAACCAACCCTACTCTACCTACCGTACTCTACCTACCCTACTCTATCTACCCTACTCTTCCTATTCAACTCTGCCTACCCTTCTCTACCGACCATACCCTACCTACCCTACTTTACTTACCTTAGTCTACCTACCCTACTCTACCTAACCAACACTACCTACTCTTTCCTATTCTACCCTTTGTCCTTCTTCCAGTTCTTAGCTACCTATCTACGAATTTTCAGTTTAATCGGTTCAGCCGTTCTTGAATTATAAGTGGAGTAGCGTGTTCATGTAGCGTTTGATAATGCAATAGGAGTTTATAAGAGACAAGCGAGCCCACCTCTCTGATGATTATACTAAATTACTCCACTGTTTAATGGATGTTACTATCACATACTTATAACATTTCACTTCAATCACTCTATCTCTTTAAAATACCTGCATCAAAATCCGTAGCTTAGTTTTAAAAACTTAAGCGTACAGGGAATGATAGTATATGAGAGACTGACCTCTGAGTTTGTTTCGGCATTTCTTCTCAGAGTAGTCAGATAGGAAATGCCGGCTTCATCTAGTTTTTCACATATAATTTGACGTGTAAAAGTGCCGTTTTATGGTCTATTTGCAAAAATAAATTCATTGTTTCATTGTTTCATTGGATATATGATTATATTATATTGATATATACATATATGTGATATATGATTGTTAAGAAGCCAATGTATAAACTGACTCAGGATTCCAATGTTTTTTCCATTCTTGTTCAGTAAGTCGATCTTAAATGAAGTACATTTGTGTTCAAGTGTAAATACTTAATCTAAAAAGTAATTATCATTAATTCTCTATATCCCTATTTTACCTATCCGAAAATCTTTAAAACTAAGATTTCGAGGCGGTTTATATTTGAAAAGGAAGTTTTTTATGTTTATAATAACATCTATAAACAGCGAAGAAATTTTATTATCAGCATTTTCATTTGCAGCATTTTTCATTCACAAAAAATATATTTGTTCCAGATTTCCGGATAGTTTTCCCAACTGGCGAAGGCATGGCAATATCGTACCCTATCAAGTTACCGTCACGCAGAGAGCACAGCTCTGCCCGTACTCTCACACTAAGCAGGCGAGATAAAGCGGAGGCTAAGCTTCGTCTCGCCAAGCGATGTGTGTTGGGCGCCTTCGCTGCTGCACTCGTGGGAGACAGGAGGTGAGTCGAAAGGTTTTTCAGAATATTCTTGTGACTATTGTTTTAAAGATCTCTTTCTTTATTTTTTGGTGGAGATCTGTGCTCAGCATTGGATGTTTTATGACTATGATGTGATCATTATTTGAAAGTCAAAGTCATAATCTGTACTGTATCATCATCATCATCATCATCAGCCTATAACTGCCCACTGCTGAGCAAGGGCCACTTCCCAGACGGAGAAAGTTTAAGCATTAATCACCACACTTGCTCAAGGCGGATTGGCGATTTCAAACTTGTAATTAGAAATTATAAGTCCAGTTTTCCTCAAAATGTTTTTCTTCACTGTATGCCAGTGGTGTCTAAATAATTATAAAAAGTTCGTATAACTCGGAGAAAGTCACATTGGTACATGCCAGGTTTCAAACTCGCACCCTCATGCATGAGAAGTGGGTGTTTTACCCACACGACCACACCACCACCTCTTTTACTGTATATAAATCTTTTATAGGTATATATATCTATTTGTTAAAATGAATCCCGAATTCTCTAATCATGGCGTCACGCGTGAACGGCTCGACTGATTCTGATATCCTTTTATGTTGTGTTTGATAAGAAAAAAATGTCGAAAAGTAGAGAGGAAAGTCGGTTAATATAATATACTAAACCGCACGGGGCTTATAATTTCTAATGATGCTAAGAATTGGTTATTAATCATACTTGAAGACACATAGACAGTATTTCGCAACAAACAAAAACATAGAGTAACTTGTTAATAATCTACTACAGCGTAATAAGCTAATAAAAGCCAAGATGAAATCTCCATAGCACAACTTGAGTTTATCTAATAAGTAAGTGGAAACTCGATGTCATCAATATCGGCCAGTTACGGCCAAGTTGGAGCCCGCGGTAGTCTATCGAGACATGTCGCTACCTGTCCTTGGCACACAGCCAGATGTTGCCACCTCGCTCCCAATAAACTTTCATGGATGCTCTGATATTCATTATTAAATTGTTTTTAAGGTTGAAATTGCACTGTCATGTTCATTTGTTTGATTAATTACATTCTGGGTTGTGGAGATTTTTGTTTATTTTTTCATATAGGAGCTTACTTATTATATTTTTTAACTTATACTAAGCCTCGATCGCCCGTCTGTTGTTGTGAGTGTATCAGCTATATATGCTCAGGCCTTGATCAGGAGAAGTTGAAGGGTGTATTTTATACAAAAAGTGATAAAGGATAAACAGCCATTTGGTGGTTTTCAAAAACAGTGCGTGATCGAGGTTACCAGGTACCTAATCCTTATTCTACTTCCATCTCTCCTCAATCCCTAAATCTCCGAAAACCTAATCCCCATAAGACCGGCAACGCAGAAGTAACTCCTCTTGGTGTCCATGCGTAATTCATCTGCTCGTTTGCAGAGATACCAAATAAAACACATTTCCAATAAAAGCTACAGTACGGCCGACGTATCTTGGCGAGTTTGAAGTTAGCCGTTTGTCTGCGCAATGGATCTTTTAGGATCAAAATTGTGTACTGCGCAGCTACTCGGCTGACTTCAGACTCGCCAAGATACGTTGGCGGTATTGTAATACGTACACATTCTCCTGAATTTCCCAATGCAATATTTAATTAGCTGCTCACAATTAAACATTTTCGTCGGTAGCCCGGAGGCTGTTGTCAATGTCGACCACATCCACATTTAATCATGGAAAGTAGTTAGCATTAAATTGTATTATCGCTATACAAGCTATATTTCCCTGATTCTTACGATTTCGGTTGTTATTTTTAATGTATTTTTTTATCCAGTAGTAAAAACTGCTTAATAGCATAGTGTGAAAATTGTTATTGGTCTTAATTGGTGTCGACGATACTTTATTGACAGTATTTTAAAGGCATCGATGTCTTTTCCTGAGATCTTAGAGCAAGTCTGATGGATGTAAGTGACGTTAGACTGCACGGGTGGCGCGATGGTGGGCAACTGGTTGCCGCGCAGTGTGTTGCGGGTTTAATTCCCACACGGAACAACTCTTTGGGTGATCTACAAATTGTTGTTCCGGGTCTGGGTGTGAGGTGTATTGGAAATTGTATGTTTGTAATTACTTCCACGATACAGGAGAAAATTCTAGTGTTCAGCAACGATTTAAAAAAAGAAATAAACAAATAAATCCGGGATAGTTTTATTAATAAAAGGATTTCGGCCACCGTAGTCTTTCTTCCCAAAAACCAAGTTTTAGTATCTTTCACCTTGTTACAAAAAGGAGTTGCAGATAATATCACATTGTTATCCAACTAAAAATATAAAAGTATAGTTGAACCAGTGGCATTGAGATTCATATTTTCCTTTTGTAGTCACACGACCTCATTGTTATTTGTCATTCGTAATACGTAGATATGAGGCACATACCAAATTATTACCGGTTCACGTCATATAATACATACATACGTACAGAGCAAAATATTGTATAGTGATGGCTTGTTAAATAATATTAAATTAAACTTTGGTTTCAATTTTATTATAATAATGATGAATTTTAACTGTAAATTCGCATTAAAGAGAAAATCATGAGCGTCGAAATACAAAATTACTGTTCTGGTAAATGTAAGATCGAAAGTAGGAAATATTATAATTCGTTAGTTATCTTGCTTTTTAAAGAATCTCATGTGAAATCAGATATCAATTTAAAATTTGGATTGAGATCGATTTTGATATCGTCTTTCAGTTAATTACCTAATGAAGTCAAAGTAAAATTCATGTCAAAGGAAAGATTGTTATTACTAAAATGACGGTAAATAGCACTCTTTAATTTTATGGTAAGCAAGCGACAAACGCCCATGGAGACATACAACACCAGAAGAAGACTTTAGAGGTTAGCAGGGATTCAGGATTAAGCATTTGAGGTTTAGGGGTCTCTCGTGATATCAAAAGTGGCACTACAAGTGCATTGCGGGCCTTTTGTAAGTTAATAGGGATATAAAGATAGGGGTTTTGAGGATTGAGGATTGAGGATTGAAGATGGTTGTAGAAAGGTGGGGGGAGGGAAGGTTTGGCCTCAAGTAATCTCATTCACACGACGAAACCAAACGTAAGTGTGGCTCCACGCCGGTTTTCTGTGAGGCCGTGGTATCACTCCGATCGAGCCGACACTAAAAAGAAGTGGGCTTCCAGAAAAACCACTCACACGGTGAAACACAACGCCCTGGGTGTCACGCTTAGATTGAAATCTAAATTCAAAAATTACATAATTACAAGATACTTGACAAAATCACATCACTCGATATGACAACCTGATCCTCTCGAAAAATACTACATTACAAAACGGTTCACTAACTACAAAACCCCCCTCAAATTTCGTACCACAAAAACTGATTCAGTATAATAACATCGTAACTATTAATGGCTTACGATAGTTTGAAACTGCTAATTCAATTTGTAATGAAATAAAATGGACGCTGGGCGCCTTCCAATAACTGAGATCGCTGTTAGCAGTTCCGCCGGCCGATTTTAACCAGCCATCGTTAAAAGTTGTGCTTCAGCAAACTGTAATGGTAACTAACGACTCCCTGCGACTTCTCTCGCGTTGTTATAAATATAATAACGTATTTTGTACTAACGCTCCGTTTAGATCTCTTGTTGGATAAAATGGGGTGAAATATAAAGTTTTATTTTATATTTTGTAATAGCATTCGGCCGCTATCACAGCTGGTGAGCAATGATGCTACCTAAGACTTATTTCTCTCTTGTTTTCATGTGACTACTAAGGGAACTATTAGTTTTTAAGTTTTCATGACACACATACAGAATCAGGAAACACGATCTAAAATAGATAGTTCCTATTAAAATATAAATTACATACCTAGTATTCACTTTGAAGTGCTTGAGACGAAACAAGTATTATGATCATAATTATATTGGTTGAAATTAATTACAATGTAACTGATGTCATTTATTACTTGGATATTTTAAAAGTTGTGCAATTCTATAAGAATATTTCAATCACGAAGAACTGCTTATTCTGTAGCTTCAAACTAGCCGATTAATTAACATAATTTAATATATCGAATTTTCTGTTGGCCCCGCAGTAATAACAAGCAACGTCCATTGCCCATTGTTATCAAGTCATACCATCTGGACCTAATTGCCTTACTGTTTTCAAATGGCCTAAAGCGATACTTTACGACCATTTAAACAGATATATTAAACAGTATTCAGTGGCATTATTATACCATAATAACAAACTAAACATCAATCTATAATGCTAAATCTATTGTTCTAAAGTAAGCAAAACCATTAAACAGTTGATAGGCTGGTTCTGTACTAACAGTTGTAAACTAACGGACAAATCTCATCATTATTTTGTTAGTAGTTTGTAAGAGGTCTCAGCCATTTAAGAAGGGGTGAAGGGAAGAGTCTGTTGTTATTATTTCCATGGTAAGAAGTTGCTTATAAATGTTTTATTTTGAGTCCTTATTTATACTACCTTACTTTGAAGTTTTATACAAAGTTTATGTTCCTCTATCAGTTTAACAGAATGAGGTTTTTTCAACCTCAAGATGGATGTAGCTCAGCAGGGTTGCGGTAAGGCGTAATGTATCTCAGTTTCGGCCTGAACCAGGAGAAGCAACAGCGTGAATTTTAGTCAGTACTAGTCTGTCACGCCCGTTTGCCTTAACCTGAGCGAGAAAAGTAATTTGACGATTTTCACCTATCAAAAAAAGGTGGTTATCAGTAAAGCCCGTTTTCACCAAATTATCAAACAAAAATGGACTTAAAATACATGAAATAATGATCTGCCCTAGTAATACTTCGTTAATTTTGTGCATTACATAGGTGTTTAATACACATTTCATTATCAAAAATCTGGGTGGCAGTGCTTGATATTCTCACGTAATACATAATGTAGGGTAGCGAGAGATTTGTCTCCGGTTGTTGATAAGGGAGCGCTCGTTATCTGTGACCGTGATTTGCAATATGGCCGCCCTGTCTGTGCCGTGAATTATTTGCCGCAGTTCAATACGGATTTGACTCCCTTTGATGAAGTATTTTTTTAATATATTCCGTTTGCAAGAGCAGTTGTTATTGCTTGAGAATTTACCCTCATTTATTAGTACCTTTTCGCGTACATTTTTGAGGGTTTTTTTATGCAATAAGTCGGCAAACTAGCAGACGGATTACCTGATGGTAAGCAATCAGCGCCGCCCATGGACACCCGCAACGGTGGAGTAACGAGTACGTTGCCGACCTTTTAGGGATTAGGGATTTGGAGATTTAGGGATTGGGGAAGGGTCCGGGGAGGGGAAGGATTGGGCCTCCGGTAACCTCACTCACACGGCGAAACATAACGCTGTGGATGTTTCACGCCGGTTTTCTGTGAGGCCGTGGTATCACTCCGGTTGAGCCGACCCATTCGTGCCGAAGCATGGCTCTCCCACACTTAGCATGGCTCTCCCACACTTTATACACTACTACACACTTTATACACATATCTAAATAGTAAAACAGGAAATCCCTGACGGGAATTCACTAAAACTCTGGTGTCTTCCCATCTGTCTATCTGTCAGTCTATTACGGGGCTGCGCTCATGAACCTGACAGTTGAAATTTGGATAGATGAGTTATTTCTTTTGCCGTTATAAAAAAAAATACAACGTGGATTTTCGTACCGTTCCTTTCACGCGGGACTCAGGAGAGTGAACCGCAGTTGGGCGGTTGATATTTGTACCATTAGTATGTAGATACAGTTTCCTTTAAATCTTAAATGTATTGTGTCAATAACCTAAATATGTTATTTATTATGTTTTCGGCTTACTCACGTAATAATTTGACGAGATACTCGACTAGTTTCAAGCCTGGAAGCCGAGTCTGAAATCTGCATCAGACTGCACTGTTGCGGGTCTGGAGTGTGACACAGTTAGCGCGGTATGTAACACTGATTTTGCGTCGACCCGGGATTCGAACCCAACACCAACGCAGCTGCAGGCGGGCGAGTCTAGCGTGCCAACAGTGTCGCGCGCGCCGTCGCTGCCAACACCAAGGCTAGAAGAAAGTGCGCGTGAATCACGGCAGAGGGCGCGTTGGGCGCGCAGACTCGAGTAGCCAGTAGCAGCGCGACGGTCGCCGAGTCGCGTGTCGCGGAATGCTGCTCATGAATATGGGCCTCTAGCATGGCTTGAAACTAGTCGAGTATCTCGTCAAATTATTACGTGAGTAAGCCGAAAACATAATAAATAATTTAGAATGTCTCACGAAAGTTATAATAAAAACCTAAATATGTACAAGAAAATAGTTTTATGAAAACTTGAAACCATTTAAAATCTTATTACACAAGCCAGGAAATTGTGTTCACATTCTACGATTTTCAGTACAGTTCATTGAACGTAATACGACTATAACTTCTTGTATTGAATGACGCAGTCAATCATTCAGATAAGCTCGCTCATTCATTCGTTCGATCTCCAATTATTAAAGCGAGGCCATTGAACTATGAGAAGTATCGAAATTGTACTTACTACCGTAGGTCCTTTGTTCCCGAAATCGGCAATAATAAAATTGTTTGCGAATATCGAATATAACTGCCATATAGCTCTTGTAATTCACATACATGTAGCATGAAAATTTGTACAATATTGATATCTAGAATCGAAATACAATTGTATATTGTAAAGCAGGTTACAAACTTTGACGTTGCGAATCTATTTTATGTCTACTAGACTAATTTTGTAAGAAATTGTAGCGATACTAAGTATTATTAACATTGTAGAAATGCAGGGATAGTTGATGGTGTCAGATCTCTAAAAGATTTTTTTCCATTTCAGACACAAACAAAAACCGATATCCCGTCATGAGAGCAGCGATGAGATTCTCGCAAACGTTAAGAATGGAAACTATTGGAGAACTACAAAACCAGACATCATTCCATCCTCATCCATTCAGGATATCTCAAAAGACCAGCTGGATAGTCTACCTAGAGTGAGAAGACGGTCGCGACGACATAGACCCGCTACATCGTATGGGTTTCCAGAAATTTCTTTATCTGACCATGCGGATACGAAGACCATGAGACGAAAATACCACACACTGAAGAGCTTGGTGTATACGGAACCTGTTGAAAGTATACGGGAAATCAGGCAAAGACCACGGTCTGCTGGGTCTACTGTGAAGAATAAAGAAGCGCTTAGTAGACCAAGTATACTAGAGACGTTGGATTTTATAAATAGCGTGAAGAGTGCTTTATGTGGTAAGTGTTTGGCTGTCTTTTACACGATTATAATAGTAGACGTTGTATTTAATTTTTTAACAAAATGGGCATCTTTCTATAAGTCATTGACTGCCGACAGATTACTATAGAGGGTAAATCCTCCGCTAGCGTGGTCGACATGCTGAACTCCATGGCGTTCAACGTGTTAATATGATTTTTTTTTATGAGATATCGCCAATGGGTACCACCAAAAGCAAAGATTTAGAGATTGAGGAGGGATGGAAGAGGGGAAGGATTGGTAACCTCGCTTATACTGCGAAACAACGTTGTGGTTATTTCACGCCAGTTTTTGCCCATCGTCGCTTCCACATTTAATCTAATTAAACATTTGCCTAATGTAGTTGAGGAGTCCGGTGCATCAGACGCAGAAGACTCAGCGTGGTCGATAGAAGATGAGTGGCTGGTGGGGCAGTGTGCGCCTCTCAATTTAATATCAGCGCGAAGTGGGCACCACGCCCTGCACCTAGCTCTCGGAGACCTGGTGGTAGCCCTGTTACACCGGGGGAGGTTTACTGTAAGTTGTATTGGTTAGATACTAAGCGATAAAACAATTATTCAATTGAGTAGTTAAACTTTTTTTTTATCTTCTAACGCAAAAACGAAGGTATTTTACATGTGTGTGTTGTATGTGTGTATGTCTATCTGTGGCATCGTATCTCTTAAACGGATGACCTGATTTTAATGCGGTTTTTTGTTTGAAAGAAATATCAGTCGATAGAGTTCTTAGCCATGTTTAGTGGAATGTTTAGTGGAAATTGGTTCAATTCTTCAAGGTTACCAGATAGTTTGTTAAGTGTGATAGGAATGTTACGTACTCAGTTTTGCAAGATTTTTGCTTGTTATAGGGTTTAGCATTTTTAACCTTTTCCCATAATAACTAAGTACTTTTTGGCATAGGTATATCGAATATGTCAATGTTGTAATGTTATAGATTCTACAAGAGCTATGTTCGTTCTTGGGTGATGCGAGTGAAGGCGCGTTGTTCGCTCTGCACAGACTAGCGAGGGCTGCACGCTCAAGGAGTAGTGAGAGAGCTTCTAGGTAAGTACAAACAGGGTATTAGGTAGGATCAGTGCCAATGACAAATAATTATCTTACCTAACAAATTTGAATTCGGGTTCTCACTGTGAAGACACTTATTTATTTAGCATGTAGCGACATCTATCGTACAACAGTAACAACAGCACCAATCACGTGCAAGATTCTACATCGCGATATAAGAGTTCTCTTCACAAATAGAACCGTTACAAAATCCCGACAACAACAGTCGGGCAGTAGCCCACCAGACATAACTCCAGACCAGACGGGTGTATGGTCGGAGGATCCTTCCTTTTTTAATGGAGGATGAGGTACTTTCCACCCTATTCCCTCGTACCTGTAAAAGCATATAAAATTTAAAAAAGTCATCATTCTCCTCTCAGCTCATGGCGTCTCCCAGAAGCAGAAGGCAGTATAACAGAAGCTCCACAGAAGTACAGACCTCGTCCTCCAGACTATGTGTCAGGAGATGAAGCTCCACCACCACCTCCGCCATTACCCAGAACATCTAGTATTGGAAGACAGGTATTATTTAAACGCTTTTATATACCATATCCTGTGGAGGAGTAGAAGAAATATAATTTGCCCAGCCAACTCACTCTTCTTTTATGCGTAGCAGCAGACAGATTACCTGATGTTAAACGATCGGCACCGCCCACGAACACCGATAACCATAGAGTGCGTTGACAGCCTTCTGGGATTAAGATTCAGGACATATAGAGATTGGGGGAGGGAGGAGGGAAGTCACCGGAGGCCCAATCTTTTCCGGATTGGGTCTCCAATGCTGTGGTTTTTTCACGCCGGTTTTCTATGAGGCCGATGTAACACTGGTCGATCTGACCCATTCGTAGACCTCTCGACCCATTCACTCTACTTAAAATCTCCAGTTAATTAGTAAATCATTATATATTTAATAATCTTATAAATTACCTTCCAGGTATCCAACCGCTACATCGACTATCAACCACCAAACCGCCTTCAACTAGAGCCAACAATCGCCCAAATCAACCCTATAACACCTCCTTACACAGGCATCATCAACCCCATATACGACATCAAAATGCCAAGGGACAAATTCGCCGTGAAAAGGTCCAAGTCTTTAGGCAGAAGTTTTAGTTCTAAAAACCTAGGTATAGAAATAAATAGGTATAATATAACCCTAGGCCACAAAAGTGGGAGAAGGACAAACGATGTGGTCACTGCTATCACTGGTATGACGGGGGAGACTGGTTTGGAGACGAAAGGGAATTTCTTCCAAAGGTATAGTACTGCTGAAGTGGTTGGGGATTCTTATAGGGTTAGTAGGGCGACTATAGATTGATTGGACCAGCAAAAATGTGGAAGAAGTCAGTGTAACACAAATCTTACAATAGGGATGTCTCCTGGGTTAAAACAACAAGATTCTAATTAGTCCGTTAGTTAGATTATAGAAAAATACTCGATACGTATTTTTTTATTTGTCCATACGAATAATATTGACAAAGATACAACACATTCAAATTCAGGAGTAGGGGTTCGTGACTTCACTCTTTCGTAAAAAAATTACGAAATAATGACGTAGCGCAAACTTTCGCCGCTCTGTAACATTGTTATTTTAAGTTTTAGAAGCAAAAGAAAAAATACGTGTCTACTATTTTCTGGCGTTCTAAAAGATGGACTAATTATTATTTTTTAGTCATCATCCCATCCCATATTCACCATCGTAGGTACTTCTAGAGAAACGGCAATACGACACCAGTATGTGGAAGATCGCCTTATTACACGAAGCCTTTGGCATCAAAGATTGCTTTTAAGTTGGCTTGGTCTACTGTCGACCATGGCTTTCCGCCTAGCGAATTAATGATCAAATGCTGAGTTTTAAATATGAAAAAGTGTTTTTTTTTTATTTTCAATAAAGCATTGCGTATGTATAAAGATTTGAAGAAAAAGTTGTAACGTTTATTCTCTTGTTATTATTCGTCGTTTAGTTAATTTCTGACAAAGATTGAAGACCAAACATTTTGAATATTTTACGGGTATGAAGAAATAAATGTATTGTATTCTATGTATGTTTAAACATAATCGTATATAAGATTGTTTAATATATTGTAGGATATTATTTTTTTAATTTCAGAAATGTTTATATTTTAGCAAATTATTTTATGCTTATGGCTATTCTTAAATGTTTAGATTATTATAATATTGTACCTACTTTCTGGTAAGAAGGACTCTTATTTATAAAGTAAAAATTTTTAATCCTTTAGATAGATATTTGTTTTGTATAAACAATTTTTTTTTTGTTTAAAATCATATCGATTTTATAATATATTGTCTTAATTGTTGTACTTAATAAAGAAAAATATTAAGAAATTGATGTTTAATTTTTGTGTTTTATTTTCAATCTAAATAGTTGAAGATGACTCCAGATTGTCATATCATAACATTTATCGTAGCGCACGTTTGTTTTTACTATGAGCTCCGGTGTGACTGGAAACCTGTCGATCAACCAAAAGGTGCAATGCAAAAACAACCAATAATATGAACTAAACACATAATAATATGAACGATAGCAATTGAACAACTGCTACCACCAATGGACACCCGAAGAGAGTCCACGAAACACGAGTGCGTTGCCGACCTTTTAGGGATTAGGATTTTGGATATTTAGGGATCGGGGGAGGAAACAGATTGAGTCTCTGATCACTCTCAAATAAAACACAACATTGTGGTTATTTCATGACAGTTTTCTGTGAGGCCGCGTTTTAATCCATAGTATAATATTATAAATGTGAAAGTAACTCTCTCTGTCTTTCTGTCTTTTCTTTGGTCATAGGATAGTTTTAAACCAGAAATCTACAGGAAGTCATTATTCCACGCGACAAAGTCGCCGGCAAAACCTAGTATCGTATATCAAATCAAATCAAATCAAAATCATTTATTCCAAATAAACCATAAATAGGTACTTTTGAAACGTCAAAATAGAATAGTAGTCTGTCAGTCTGTTCGTCAGTGAAGCTAGGTGCTCGTTCCAAATTGTAGTTTCGAATGGAGAAGAACGAGCAAGAAACTCCATCGTTACTCTTTTAAAAAAAATATTTGTTTTACAATTCATCAATAATACATTTTTTATACATTACTGTACCCCTATGTGAGAACAATGCAGAGACAAGTTGTTAATAAAAAGGAACAAATGATGGTCTATTTAATCTATCATTAAAATTTTAATCCTTTGTTGTTTCGTACATGGCGCTCACATATGCGTACTCACAATCCAAAAGAATGCTTCTATATAAACTCATTCAAGGTTTCATTAATTTTGAGAATTTTGGTAACTACTGACTACATATTTGAGAATTGTCCAGTGGAGCCGAACCAACATGCTGCCAGGCATTCTTATCCTCAATATAATCTGAAAGTTTGTAGTATGCCTGTCTACATAATTCGCGTTTAATATAAGTTTTAAATTTTCGTTCATTAAGATTTAATACACTTCTTGGAATTTTATTGTAACAATTTACACAGAACCCCATAAAGGATTTCTGTACTTTGGACAGACGGAATCGTGGCACAGCCAGCCTATCTTTGCCTCTAGTATTAAAATTGTGTCTATCGCTTCTTTTTTCAAATAATTGCAAATTTTTCCTTACGTACATAATATTTTCATATATAAACTGACAAGGTACCGTTAGGATATTTATCGTTTTAAATAGTTCTCTCAGAGATTCACGAGGGGACAAGTTATATATCGCTCGGATAGCCCGCTTTTGCAAAATAAATATTGAATCTACTTCCGCAGCTCGACCCCATAGCAAAATTCCGTACGACATAATGCTGTGAAAATAGCTAAAATAAACAAGCCTTGCTGTGTTCACGTCTGTGAGCTGTCTAATCTGTCTAACTGCAAAAACAGCTGAGCTCAGTCTTCCCGAAAGCGTCTTTATGTGGGAACCCCATTGAAGTTTATTGTCTAGCGTAATACCTAGGAACATAGTCTCGTTAACAAATTCTAACTTTTGCCCATTTAAAATTATGTCACAATCATTATTGTGTACGTTGGGCAAGCTAAATTTAATACATTTTGTTTTTTTCTCGTTAAGTGCTAAATTATTGACTGTAAACCAATTATGAACTCGATGAATGGAGCTGTTTACTTCGTCCAAATTATTAACACGTCGACCTATTCTAAAAATTAATGATGTATCATCTGCAAACAGCACCATTCTTGGCTCGGTTTTAAATAGAAATGGCAAGTCATTAACATACACTAAGAAGAGAAACGGACCCAAAATTGAACCTTGCGGTACGCCAATTTTTATCTCAGAGCCCCGTGAGTTAGAACCACCTACATGAACTCTCAGCTGCCTATCCTCTAAATATGACTTTAGTAGACGGAGTGCAGTATGTCTAATCCCGTAATGATCTAATTTCAGCAAGAGTGTTTCATGATCAACGCAATCGAACGCCTTTGAGAGGTCGCAAAAGACACCAACAGCATCCTGTGCTTCCTCCCAAGCACCGAATACCTCCTTTATCAAAGTGACACCGGCGTCAGTTGTACAACGACCTTTAGTGAAACCGTATTGTTGGTGATGGAAGATGGCATGTTTATCAAAGTGATGAAGCATCCGAGATAGCATTAACTTTTCAAACACTTTGCTAAGAACCGGTAGAACAGACACAGGCCTATAGTTGTTTGGTTCCTTAGTGTCACCATTTTTGAATAATGGAATAACTTTACTGTATTTCATTAGGGTGGGGAAGACACCGTCATCTATACTTTTATTGAAAATCAAAGCCAGATACGGCGCTAAAGTTCGGATAAGTGATCCGCAGACTTTCACCGATAGTCCCCAAAGGTCCTCAGTTGATTTAATCTTGATTTCTTTAAAAACCTTTATTATCTCCAAAGGATTAGTATAATGAAAACTAAAATCGTCTTTGCATGATTTGACATTTTCTCTAAGCAAAGTTACCGATAGTCTAGCTGATGATTCTAAATGAGCAGTTGTTGAGACAGGTATATTAGCAAAAAATGCCTCAAACTCCTGAGCTACATCTTTGCTTGACGAAATCTGTCCCCTTTCAGTGTTTAAACAAAATTCCGAATTTTTTAATCGTTTCCTACCTGTCTCATTCTGTATTATTTTCCACGTAGCCTTTATCTTGTCATCAGCTGATTTTATTTTATTACTGATGAAAAGTCGCTTTGCGGCTTTGCATACTATTCTAAATGTTTTTGAGTACAATTTTACATGTTGATGAAAAAGGGGGTCGCAATTAAATGGTTTCATGCCATAAAGTTCAAAAAGTTTATCTCTACTCTTACGAATACCTACGGTTGCCCAATCGCTAAACTGAAACTTAGAATAGATGTCTTTACATTTCATTGGCAAAATAGCTTGAAATTCCCTATTTAACACCGCAAAAAATTTTTCGTATAACTTGCTCGGATTAATGACATCAAAATTTTGTACACTTAATTTAGTTGCTATTGAATTATTGAGTTTCTCTAAATTTCTATTTGTAATATGTCTAAACTTTATTTGAATTTTTTGTAGAGGCAAATAAGTGCTGTAAGTTACCACAAGACCACTGTGGTCAGAAGGTAAACTGTTTAAAATTTTTTTTTCTAAATAGTTACTGTTGCTAAAAATGTTATCAATACATGTGGCAGTGGATGGTGTTATCCTAGTCGGTTCCAGAAAAACATTTTTTAAATTAAATGATCCAAACAAATTTAATAGTTCCATGCTGCTTGCATTGTTTTCCAATAAATTAATGTTAAAATCGCCACATACAAGTACTGATTTATGGCTAGAACATACCTTCTTCAAAACATCTTCCATTACTGAATCAAACACTGCAAGATTCTGATAATTAGGTGGTCTATAAACACAAACAACAACATGTCTATCCAGCTCAACACAGGACAACTCAATAGTGTGTTCAACTGACAGTGCTACAATATCTTTCCTTTCTTTGGACTTAATGCCATTTTTAACTAAAATTAAGGACCCACCATGTAACATATATTTTCTACTAAAATTACTTATTACAATATAATTATCAAAATTAAAAGATATTAATTGGTCCTCTTTCATCCAATGTTCCGCTAAACACACAATATCAAATTGTGTTTTCTCGAGGAACATTTCTAATTCAAATAATTTAGAGGAGCAGCCCTGAATATTAATATAAAATAAGATAAGATTGTGCTGCCCCTGAGCCTGTGTAACAACATTTGATATAAGTTTTTTTTTGCCAGAATATACCTTACTACTAACATT